AGTTACCCTGCATGCAGTCAAACTAAGTGTGATAGAAAAAAAATTGTAGGGCTCACGGACGGTATGGTAATTACGAACCTCGACCCCAAAAGCTCTCAGTCTTCGACTTCGGGCTTCTAATAGAGACTCGTTCGTAATTTCTGTGTACAAGTGATCATATTTATTGTAATATGGCCATAGTACCTACTGATGCACATTAACTTTTCAAAATCCAAAAAAAATGTTTTCGAACATTTCCATCTCCAATTCTAACCCTCCCCTCTTTATTTAGTCAAGAAACTGTCACATTTGTAACAAATAATCTTAATCTGTTTGAATTAAACAAAAGTGCACGTCGCAAAGACAAATTGATTCTTTCAGAACCGACTGTAGAAAGCTATAAAAATGGTCCATATTATAAATCCATTCAAATTTACAACAAAATGCCTAACAATGGAAAACACACACCAAAAAACAGATTCTCAGATTTCGCAGGATTTCTCAGATCTCTACCAATATAATCTCGAAGTATAAATAGCTTACAACATTTCAACGGCAAAAATTAATGTTACATGTTATTATAACACAAACTAGTTTTAAGTAGGTACGGACAATTTTTGTTTGAAAATCGCCTCCAGTGCAAAGGAACAAGATACGTCAATGTGTAGCGTGATGTGCTGGCGTGTGTACAATTTACTATAACTATAGGGTTATACCAGGGTCCATGTGATACTATTAATTACTTCTAACAACTGTATATACCACAGAACAATAAATACAGTAGAAGTAGTTAGTTAGCGTCGGACGCGTGTCAACTATAGGTCTCGAAAGACTTACATGAGGTCAGTACGCCATTTTCTCTTTGTATGGTATGGCTGTGTCATTATTTCTTGCAAATTCTATGAAATCCTAGAAAAATGCCTTATTGTGCTGTTTTGGAATGCAAAAATATTAAATATTACCCGTGGTGGTATTTCATGTTATCGGACAGTGTTATTTTAATAAATTTAAAATTTTTTGTTCATCGAAATAATTGTTACAATGTAATGTAATGTAATTTGTTACAAGAAACGAAAGTAAAGCTGATATATGCCCTTGCAATATTGTCGCTTCTTTTTTGGAGAACTAAATTAATTACTCCAAATTCGTCGTCGTTTAGCAATTAACCGCTAGATGGCAGCACATAATTGAAATTTCAATATAATATCAAAACGTCGTAACTTGCAATAAATAGGTATTAAAGTTTCAACGATATGGCAACAGGTTAAGGTTCAAATTATATTAACAATCGAGAATTTGTTATTTCTACAAAACTACGACCAATCATTATCAAGATTTTGTAGTGGTATATACCATAGTTGCAATAAATGATATTCTATTCTATGTCAGAAATACTTTTATTTCATGAAAGATATAAAAATATTACGAATTATATGAAACAAATTACGTGTGTGAAATTTTATAACTCCCTGTTTATGAATAAAAATATTATTGTGTAATTTCGTTTGTAGAATCTGTGAACTTATCCTGATATGTAGACATTTTTTCATGAAACCAAGTGTCGAGACGAACAGGTCGTACTCCTGATGGTAAGCGACACGCCTGTCCATGACGATCTGAGGGAACAATGTTTACGATAGTTGCGAAATGTTTTAATAATTGAACAATTTTTAAAAAAGAACAATAAATGTTTAAAGATTAAAAATTAAAAAACGAACTTATCTTGTGTAGTATAGTGGACTGACTTTATATATTTTTGGCTTTATTATTATCACTTTTGTCCTGTTTTGTGAAAGCGGGACATTGTTAAGTATTTTGTGGACAGCACACAAAACTTAAAAGCGGGACGTATGGTCGCGTAAAGTCTCAAGTTTTATTGAAGTCTGTTAACGGAAATAGAATCGAAGGTCGAAAAGATTACATCTATCAGCCCCCATTCTTTTTACTTACTTCTCTTGCCATGAACTGTACATGCTACCTTAAAAGTCGTCTATATGCGTAGCATTGAATTCATATAACGTAGGATACAATCTTGTGCAGTCAATTGTACGATTGCGACTACTGTAGAGTCGATCACAGAAGTCTGTATGCATTATTCGATGTAACAAAGTAGAATTTAAAATGGACTTGCTAGTTGGATTGTACTGACTGAGTGGGTGATTACCCAATTTGTTGGAAGGGGGACTTGATTGATGCATTCTGTTTGTGTTAAGAATTATTGTGAACTGTATATCAATCGGCTATATAAGTATACGGTAACGCATGTCGATTTTATAGAGACATCAGACAAACTAAAATGTAGCAAAGTTTAGGCACCTTGGAAGGAAGCTTTGTTTTTTTTGAGAATAGATAGATGTAGATTTTCGCTATCAGATATTTCAGAACGTTTCATTATCACTAATTCTGACAAAATCCTCGTCACTATTTGAAAACTGTTTATGAGAATTTGAAGTTACAGTATTGCGATATATAGAATTTTCGCCGATTTTTCCCTCATCGCTGTCTAAATCTAAAAATTGCTATAATATGTTTTCTTGAATCACTAAGACACTTTTTCGATTCGCCTTGACTAGAAACTGATGCAGTTTTTTATTTTTCCTAACTTTCTTGTCTTATTCTCCTTGCCCCTAACCTATACCGCGAAAAATCGAGGCGACTATCCTATTCGATATTCATAGATGTCTTTTTATTATTTAACTAAGCTATATACAAAAGAACGATTATTAACATCTAGATGCGCGGTTAATGTACCAGTGCATAGTTGTAATAAAAATAAAACGGAATTGAATATAATTTTCAAAGTTATGCGACAGTGAATACTTGTGCCTGAAATTTAGAACCGTTTGTCGTGTTCGTCGCGGAGATAAACGCATGCACAAGCTAAACGCGTCTATTCCACACGAAGCCCTGCACGAACTTTGATGAGTGGTGTCTATACTCCTTGTTTAAACTAATTAATTATTCTTTGCTGCGATTTCGGGAAGTTAGATTTTTTGAAAACGAGGCACCTATCCCAATGCGGCATCTATCCCGGTTTTACCCTACGTTGCGAGGTTAATCCGGCATTTGACCTGTGTTCTTTTTTGTTGGAAAGGGTATTTCAATACTGGTCCCATTCGAATTTGAAAAAAGAATCTATCTCTAACCGGATACATCCGGCTTATGAATTCAGAGTACTATAAAAACCGACCTCAAAAGTACGTGGAATTACATCTATATGTCAAGTTTTATTAAAATCGGTTACCGGAAAGTGCGCAAACCCGGATTCATCCCCTAGTTCGCTACTATACGGGACTTGACACAGGAGATAATAAAAATCGGTTCTCACTACTCAAAGTATATTGAGAGAGAAAAACGCCTTGAATTGGAGAAAAGCAAAATCAACCATTAAAGTAATTGCTCCTTATAATAATTTAGGCACTATTTATAAAAATGAATCTTCATGCGTGAACAGCCACCCTTAGAGGATCGAGGTACCCTCTTTCCAACAAAAAAAAGAATCATCAATATCGGTACACAAATGGCGAAGTTATCGCGTAACATACATACAAAAAAAATACAGTAGAATTGAGAACCTCCTCCTTTTTTTGAAGTCGGTTAAAATGTTTTTTCTTTTTCTCCTCTTCTTTTATGATATCTTTTTTTATAATACTAAGTGACGGGGCGAAGAAATCGTATGCCTGGACATAAGTTGACATACGACCCTGATATATAAGTTGACAAGCCCCATGTGCATGTAATTTCGCCATCAAATAGTAAATATCGTCCACCTATAAAGATGCCAAGGACACTGCCATATCGCCCGTCACTCTGAGACGTAGGGTGTGTGGTACCATCGTTGTTTTCAATTTCCGTAACACAAGTGCCTTAGCTACTTTCTTCAGGGCCAGAGCACCGTATATGAATTCTAATGTGTAAATCCCACTGCTGTGCACGGGTCAGGCCATGGTCGGGGAGTTCATATGATTGTCCAATCTTCTTCCATATGCAGCTATAATCACGATATTCTCCTGTTACTGTTGTTAATAACTAAAAAACCATAGGTACATGCCACCACAGGAATCCGAACCGTGGAATTGTATATGCCAAGTTACCAACCAACCGCAAGTTTAATTAAAAAGTTTCCATTGTTATAATTATGTACTGTCATTAGTTTAGTGACATAATTATATTTGTAGATGAATCGCAAACAATGTAGAGATCCGGTTCGCGCGGTCAAAAGTTAGGGTTCGTTTCTTATCAAAAGCAAATATATGAATCAAATGTTGACGGGCCTTTGGGATATTCCTAGGTTCTAATCTAGGTTATCTGACTGTGACCTTTTACGGATCTAAGATCTACTTGTGAGGTTAGTTTGGACTTCACACGTTTTCCCAGGGCTGTGAACTTCTTCTAACTTGCGTTAAGTTGCACCATTGATGTAAAAAGACACATCTGCAAAATCACAACTTTTGTGAAACGAAAATTTAAGACTCAATTCGAATAGTTTAATGCTTAAATATGAGGGTGACACAATTTCACATATACATACTTTGTTATGTACAATTCGCATTTTTTTAGTGGAACATGTTTGAGATGGAATTTGAGGACAATCTTGAATATACACCTAATACTTGTACATACAACATTATTATACGAACTGTAAATATATTTGCATAAATGCATTACACACTTAAAACTAAAGCGTATAAAGACTAAGACAGATTTGTTAAGATACAAAGATCGAACACATTGGAAAAAATTACTCCGACCCGATGAGAATACCTTATCGCTCTAACCAACTGAGCTACAGGTCACGTTATAGAGTTGTCAAATTTCTCCTATGTCTTTTAATGAATGATGCATTATACAGTATCAAATGAAAGTTGTTTACAAAATTCACGGAAATGAATCTTATCACTACATAATTGCTTTATTAGTAATTATGTATTATAATCATTAACTATGGCAATAATATCAGAACAAATGACTTAGCCATTACTTATTGTTTATTTATAATTTGTTTCTCTGTTTGTTTGCAGATAAGTGCTCGTTAGCATGTAAAGGATGTAAGTATTTAACGTCAATAAAGAGCTTATGAACGGCGGCCATTTTTTTTATACTTTCTTATACGTCTTTCAAATCACTTATGAGTTGTCACTGTTTGCGTCATATCTTCATTTCTTAGTCGCGTAATGAAATTCAGAATAATATAAGAATAATTAATTAATAAAAATAATTAATCTTGATAAATATACCGTGTATCTTTCAACCCGGACACTGGCAGAATTGTCCTCAGTGGGACAGAAGCCAAATAACCCAAAAAAAAAAAAAAAAAAAGAATAATTATTATAATGTGAAGTTCATTGATTTTCACAATGTTTTGATATTTAATTATTTTTTGTATAATTACTAGTTTGTTACAATTATTAATACAAAGAATAATAATAATAACTATAATAATACTTTAGTTTCCATTTTTTTTTTCAAATTTACAACAGAGCTTCAACGAAATGGTTTTGTAGAAATGTGATTTGTGCTCCATCCACATCATCGGTAGAAAGGTAGAATGTTTAAAACACAATATAGGGTACCGATTACTATATCCAGCGAATTAAAAGCCCCGATATAAATTCAAACAAAAAGAGACCTTTCGATATTATTCACTTGGAAAATTATTTTCCACACAGCTCCCACGTCCCCCACTTTCCTAAACGGCCACAAATACAACTACGGCGTGGAAGGAACTGTCTCCATCTTCCTGACCGGAGCTGAAAAGCAAGAGACCAGCGTCAAACTCCTCGGCCAAGTATCCGTCGCTGCGTTGGGCAATTGCGTCAATGAGCTTGTAGTCCAAAACCTCGTGATATCTGGACCTGACGGCAAGGTATTCTACTTTAACTGTTTTGTAGCCAAGTTTTGGGACTAGATTTCTTCTCCTTATCGTATGGATGGCGTACACTATAATGTTTTCCATCGTGGTGAAAGGATTGCCAATCGGTGTAATGTACTCGCGGATTGTAATGTTGCCCAAAGTACGCCAGACGTACAGTAAAAGAATGGCATGTCGTGCAGTGTACCCTGTCCTGTCCTTTCATGTACCCTGGCAGATGAGCAGCGTTACTTTTGAAGCAAGACATAGCTCATAAGAAATCTTTGTGTTCACAGAAATACTCCAGCCCACCCGGCGTGGACAAGCCAGTGCGCTTCACACTCCAAGATGGCCGTGTTGGTTCAGAGATCTGCACCGAAGACGGAGACACGCGTCGTTCGCTCAACATCAAACGAGCCATCATATCGCTGCTGCAGTCAGAGAACAAGCCTAGCACACAGGTGAGCTCAATGACACTATAAACATGTTCATCAAACAAGAATTCTGTTAAGTTTATCCACATCATGTTTCATCATTTCGCTGATGAATCATTTTTAAAAGAAATATACTTGAAAACAAAAATTTCAGTGTTACATATCCCAAAAAAGTCTGAAATGAAAATTTTGGAACATAACCCGTACAGTTTCTATTAAAATTACCAACTCCAGTACTAATTTTCTTGTCTTCTCAGGTGGACGTATTCGGATCCTGCCCGACAGAAGTCTCATCCTCCAAAGAGGGCAACGCGTTCCTGGTGCACCGCACCCGTGACCTCTCCCGCTGCGCATACCGCGAACAGGGCAAAAATGACATCGTCAGTGGTATCTTCAATCCTACCGCAGTAAGTTTTACGTTGTTTTCCTTTTCTAAATCAAATATTTGTTCAGAAAAGTTTAAATTAAAATAAGATACATAAAAATTGCCAGCGTTTTTCGTCTCTATCTATAGTATCTATAGCCCTATATTCTTTTAATACAACTTAAACGCGTATTTTTAGTTCCCGACAAAAAAAATATGAAAAAAAGATGTGAGTTGTAATAAGTTTGACGCGTGTGCCTGTGCATCTGTGCATGTCCGAAGGTGGTTTTTTACGTGGTTTTTTACGTAATCTCCCTTTGAATCAATATACCTTGACCAGCTATATTCCAACTTCTGCAACCCATCAAAAAAAATGTTTTTTTTGTCAAACTGAAAAATTAACCTCTGTTTCAACTAATTAATAACAAATTCCGCATTGCCCATAACAGGAGATCAAAAACAGCCAAGTTCTGCAGTCCAACTTAAACGTAGAGTCGAAAGTCAACAGCGGCGTCCCTGAGAAGGTATCAGCGACCGAAGAATATCTGTATAAACCTTTCTCCGTTGGTGAAAATGGAGCCAGAGCCAAGGTCCACACCAAGCTGACGCTCACTGGAAAAACTGGTGGAGCCGCTGGATCAGGTAATTGGAAAACCCGAGAAACACACTAACAACAATTGACACAAGTTGAAAATACAAACAACAATAGATTCACATATGGTTCACCCCCTCTTTATTTCAATTCAGGAATAACTATCTTGTCGCAGGTAACTGCAATATGCAGCGCTCTATCATCTTTGAGAATCCTCATGGCCACGTGACTGGCAGCAACTTCGACGCCGCCATCGCCGCCGTCCGCGATACCGCCAAGACCCTCGCCAGTGAGGCCAACTCCAAGTCCGCTGGAGAATTTGCTCAGCTCGTCAGGGTAAGAACTATTTAGACTTATTTTGTATGGAAAACCTAAAATATATATTATAATATTGTCTTTTAGATCATATCATATATCTTCTTTCGACGACCTCGGTGGCCCAACGTTTGCACTATGGGCTGGGCCAAGAGGTCCCGGGTTCAATTCCCAGTAAGACCAATTTGTGAAATTAGCTTTTCTAAATTGGCTACGGTTCGGGTGTATTGGGTTGTGAATTCCGTTGCTCTGGTACTCAAAGTATAGGGAATTCTGTAATTTGAGCTCAGGTGATTGAGGTGGTCGCCCGGCACATTATTATAATACTTAGTTTATGCAAGCATTAATTTTCTTACAGATCCTGCGCGGTTCGAGCAAAGACGACCTCACCAAAATCTACGGACAAGTCAAAGGCAAAAACTTGGAAAGGTAATCAAAGTCTTAAAACTTTATTTTGAACGAATCCAGTCTATTGTATATCTGATATGACTAATGTCTCATATACGTTATCATCACCTATACACGTCATGTGCTGGTCACTGTATTCTAAATTTAGGTTTTATATACGTCCACGTAGTCTGTTCAGCAGGTCCGCTACGATACCTTTAACGTCTCTAATTTTTCTAATAATTTTTGTTTTTTCCAGGCGCGTATTCCTCGACGGTCTCGTTCGTGCAGGCACCGGCAGCAGCGTAGAGGTTATAGTGGATCTGATCAAAAGCCGTGGACTCAATGGCTTCGAGACACAGATTGCTCTTTTGTCCTTGGGCAACGCTAAGCACACTTCCGACGAGGCTGTAAAGGCTGCTGCGGTTAGTAATATTTATAGAAATTTTGACGACTTTTGCCCATGTTGTTTAAAGCTTGAAAGTTGCAGTCGTCCGGATTCCTAATTACTAGGTCCTTGAATCTTCCATTTTCTTTTTATTTTAAAAGCAATATTTGCCAATGAGGTGAAGCAGCAGCGGCTTAATTGCATTTACCAAGTCTCCTCCCCTTTTTTTCGAGGTGATCTAAATTTGGCAAATATAAACGACTTCTTTTCCTTTATCAGAACATTCTCGACCTTCCCAACCTGAACAACGAGGTCTACCTCGGTGTGGGCGCTTTAACTGGAGTATATTGCCGCGATCACGACTGCCACAATGTCAAATCCGATGGTGTCGCCGCCGTCAGTTCGAAATTTGCTGCCAAGCTGCAAAACTGCAAACCAAAGAACAAACAAGAGGAGGATCGTGTACGTATTAAAGTTTAAAGTTCTCTAACCTTTCATTTTCTGAACGGTGACTCTCTTGTTCTTATATTGTTATTTATCAAGAAGATCATCTGATACCTTACCACAGTCTATTAATAAACAAACATTAGTCTATGAAATTATAAGCTCGTAATGAAATTGTAACCAGTCAACCAAATGATGTATTTTTGTTAAAATGATGCGAAAGATCTACCTGATGATTATAAAAGTCAATCAAAGATTATATTTTGCTTTTGATAAGTGTAATGCGTTAAAAAAGCGTTAGGGAAAAATAAATGTTTTTATGGACAATAGAACAGAAAGGGGAAAAAGTTTGGACATCTGTTACATAGTTAAGAATTTATAAAAGTTATAAATTAAAGGAAGATAGAAGGTAAAATATAGAGAGAATGACCAAGTTAAGTGTACAGTAAACAAATAAAAGAACGTCAACATGAGCATAGCTGCTCATATTGACGTTCTTTTGATGACGTTCTGCTGCAGAAATGAGGAGTGGAGGAGGCTGATAAGAGCCTGGCTCTTAAATAGGATGTTGGTGATGAAAGATAATCGAAAATAAAAGCAAAAAGATTTGTAGTAATTTCGGTCGCAATTTGCCTGTTTATGAATTTGATATAGTTTTATGGTACCACTTACTATTAACATACTCTTGAAAATACAACCTTAATAAACTTATCTATATTCGTTTACTTTTTCTAAAATATTACTTAACATCTTGCAGGTGGTAGCAGTACTAAAGGGCATCCGTAACATCCGTCACCTCGAAGACAGCTTGGTGGATAAAATAATTCGTTGCGCCAGCGACAACAATGGCAAAGCACGAGTCAGGGTTGCTGCTATTGAAGCCATTGGTGCAGATCCTTGTGCCACTAAGGTATTATGAACAATAAACCGATTTGAAATTTATACTGAAGAATTCCATGACACTGTCTATTAAAAGCTGACCATTATTTTATTATTCGTTCTAGTTTTAGTACGACTACTGCATGCATCAATAAGCCGCTGTGAGACGACTAAAAATCCGTTAAACGTTAAAAGTTTTTTTTTTAATTATTACCTATAGTTCTTTTAAATGTCCCACTTTTATCTTAGAGGCTATAATATAGTATATCTAACGTGACCATTATTTTTTCCCTCTGAGCGGTACGCTTTGTAATTTTATTATTTCGCTTCATTAATGTTCCTTTGTCCTGTTTTATGAAAGCGGGGCATTGTTAAGTATTTTGATGACAGCGGGACAGCAAACTTAAAAGCGGGTAGTATGGTCACGTTAAGTACATCGTATAATTATATAAATGATCTAAAGTTCTTTGCCTTGTACATTTTCATAAAATGCACCAATAAACAAAAAAAATGTAAGTAGTTCAAAACGTTATCAATCTACAGGCCCACAAAGCTGCCATGGACCTGATGAAGAACCGCCAACTAGACTCTGAGATCCGCATCAAGGCATACCTAGCTGTGATAGAATGCCCATGCGCGCACTCCGCCAACGAAATCAAGACTCTGCTTGAAACTGAACCTGTGCACCAAGGTATGGTTTTAGGACCAACTTTGTTTTATAAAAACCAAACAAAATGTACTCCGGTTTGTAAACTGTTACCAGTGTCAGCGAATACAAAAGATAATGTTTAAATCAGATTTTTTTCTGACGTGATGATGATGTGTAGTTTGCTTTTTATGCACTTGGTTTCGATTAATTCTTTCTTTACAACTTGTCAGTTAGATATCCTCTACTCTAAAGATCTTACTTATTTATATCTTTGTAAACACTTTGCAGTTGGCCGTTTCATCACCTCATCGCTGCGTCACATCCGCAGTTCTGCCAATCCAGACCGCGCACACCAACAGCACCATTACAGTCAGATTCGCACACCCAACAAATTTAACGTCGATGACAGGTAACAAATCAATGTAACCACGTCCCCCACTTAACTAGATTCATAGGTACTTTTTTCAGTTCATTCCAGTTTCTGTTACCGTGCACATTCACTCTATTATTTTCGTACTATAGCCAATTCATCATTTTATTTTGATAAAACCTCATACATTCTTCTTTCTTTTCTCTTTCCTACAAATACTTCAATAATTTTATTCATTTGCAGGAAATACTCCTTTTTCCGAGAGCTTTCATATAACGTGGATGCTCTAGGGGTCGGCGGAAACTTGGAACAGACAGTTATCTACTCTCAGGACTCCTTTCTACCTAGATCTGCCAGCATGAATTTGACCGCCGAACTCTTTGGACACAGTCTTAACGTACTAGAGGTAAATTTTAAGTTCACAATTAACAATTCGTTATATGAACGAAACCAGATCTGCCAGATTCTGACTAGATTCGTTGGTGCCTTAGTTTTAAACTCTGGAAATTTCTCAGGTTGGAGGTCGTCAAGGCAACCTAGACCGCGTGGTCGAACATTTCCTTGGACCCAAGAGTTTCCTTCGCGAGCTGAAGCCCCAGGAAATTTACGACACAATCGTCAAGAACTTCCAGGAAACCGAAAAAACGGTTCAAGACAAACTCAGCCGTGGACGCCGCTCAGTCAAGACTGAAGTTGACAACTTTGATAAACACGTAAATGACATTGATACACATCTGCGTTGATACACCCATGTCCTTATAAATTCTGATCAAATCAAATGCAAGCTTCCAAAGCCTATACTTAAGTTTATTAAAGAAGTGACCAGCTTATTGTACATTTTATCAGTAATGTAATTTTAATCATGTAACTTTTACTTTGTGTTTCTCTAAGGAAAGTTCAATCCTTCAAGGCAATAAAATACTTTTGAGTTCAATTAACACATATTTCATCTTATAGCTGAAAGCGGAAACTATTTCTTACAACAACGAGCTGGATTTAGATATCTATCTGAAGCTATTTGGCACCGACGCCATCTTTCTTTCCCTCGGTGACGACAAGGGATTCGACTTTAACAGGGCCATTAGTGGACTACTCTCTGCCATCAATGGTGGCATCGACCAGGCTAAGCACTTCCAGGTGAGGCCTACTTTCCTACTTATGACAAAATTTAATTAGTAAGGAAATCAAATCTTCAATTGCTGAAAATTAGATATACTAGATAGATTCCTATGCTCAATGATAAGATAAAGTGACAGTCCATAATAATTTTTACAGCAAGAACTACGTGCCCACCTTCTTTTCCTCGACGCTGAGCTTGCTTATCCAACCTCAACCGGTTTCCCTCTGAAATTGGACCTCATTGGAGCCGCCACTGGCCGATTGGAACTCGGAACCAACATCGATCTTCGCCAGATTTACCGCAACCCCAAGAATGCCAAGATTGATGTGAAGCTAGTTCCAAGTACTGATATTGAAATTGCTGGTCTCTTCCTCGTTGACGCTGATGCCGTTGCAACTGGTCTTAAAGTTGTTACCAACCTCCACTCTTCAACTGGTGGCCATCTGATTGCCAAAGTCCTGGAAGATGGACGTGGCATTGATCTCCAGTTTGGGCTGCCCATCGAAAAGCAAGAGATTATTACCGCTTCCAATGACCTGATTTTCGTTACGAGAGAAAAGGGACGCAAAGAGAAGGAAACTGCTCTGAAGGTTGATACTCAAACAAAGGAATATACTGGATGTTTCGACCAAGTTTCTGGACTTATTGGTCTGACTCTTTGTGGAGAAGTAGTGGTGCCATTCTCAGTATCTGGTACGTCACGACGATATATTTTTTTAGAATTACAACTCTGTTCTTTCTTATACATATGTATCAATTATTACGCGTTTTGTTTCTATTAGGTCCTGATGCCCAAGCATCCGTTGCCAAATACCTAGCTCGCTATCCACTAACCGGTCAATCAAAGGTGAAACTGGTGCTGGAAAAGAACGATCTACGAGGATACCATATCAAGGCAGTACTTCGAACTGATAACCCTGCGAAGCAGAGCTTTGAAGTCCTTTTCGAAGCTGAAGGTATACTATTCTCTAACAATTCAATTTTGCTACTAGCTTCAATACTTACTTTTTTTGAAAACACCTAAAATTCTAGCCATCCGATAGTGGTGCAATGAAAATAAAATATATAACTTCCAAAAAGTCAACTGTCAAAATTAAAATTCATCTAAAAACTATTCAAGTCCACCATAAATTTATCGAGACAAAGTTAATTATTCAAGAAGTGATATTTTTTTATTGCCATTGCCAGTGATATTAGAAGATGAAGATGCTATCCTACATCAAAATGAACAACCACCTATTTTAATTTTCCTACACACAAAACTAGAAATGTCCAAAGTTTCAGAGCGAATTTAATTGTATAAAAAATATTTATTTTACAAAAACTTATGGTTTGTGAATTTTGGTATACGGATTAAAGGCTAAGTCTCTTAAAGTCATAAACTGCATAAATTAATCTATAATAAATCAATAGGAACAAAGAGCAACCGCCGTACCTCGCTGTCAGGAGAATACATCACCACCCCTGACGAACGGACCCTCAAACTGTCACTCGAAGCCCCAATTAAGACCATTTACGGTCAAGTCTCTTACATCACCAAGAACACTGAACGCGTCCTTTTGGCTAAAGCCAAGATTGATGCCGCTGAATATTACGGTAAAATTGGTTTCCTCGTCAACGGCAACGAACAACGCTATGTTTTCAAACCCATTATTGAGTACCAAGTTCCTGACGAACAAGGCAAAAAGAACCTTAAAGTAGATGGCCAACTAATAAGAGAAAAGACGAATCTTGGTGCAAAATACATTATTGAAGGTCTTAAGATTACTCTGCCAAACTCAAATGAATTCGTCGATATTCACGGCCACTTGTTATATGAACCTAAGAACTATGAATTAGATCTCAAGGCGAAGAAGGGAGACCACAACTTGCAATTAAATGGTAATCTTAAGAATTACGACGTAAGAGTTGAGTTCAAGAATACTTTGAATCCCATAATCAACTTTAAGGTCAACGGACATATTGAGAATACTAATGAAAACGTAAGTTTTTAAGAATAATCCACGTTTAATGATCATTTAAGTTAACAACGATTATAGTCACAATGATCGCTGCACACTCCCTATTTCCTTAGAACGCCTATTAAGAATGAATCTGTCTTAACTTCGATAAATGTCCCTTTTAGCTCCGTCGCAAAAAGAGCGGACTTCTGACTGCGTGTCTGTATCTGTGATCACTAAGCAGTTTTGTTTTTTTTTCATTTCAAAATTAATTTAATCGAGATGGTTCTCTATGTTTGATAAGCATCTTTCTTTAAACAGCTGAACGTTTAAAGTTCATCAACTTTTTACTCAATTCCTGTAGGGATTTCAGTCATACAATTATTATTATTACTTATTTTATTTCCACTTGTCCGATCGACTTCAAATTTGGTATTCTATGGAAATCTCATAACATGAAAATAATATGGTAACCTTTATCTGATGCTCCAACCAGGATAGTCCGCAGACTATCCAACTCTTCAACTTCTTTCAGTACACCAATCGTATTTGAATTCATTAAATCGGTCTCGACGAGTTATAGGTTTACAGATAGTGACTCTACGACTTGATGATACATCATGAGTACGCTGTTTGGTACTGGGGTTTTATAAATTTAATTGTAAGTTTTATTCATTTGTAAGTAATGGTTAATTGTAACATTTTTGTCAAATGTTTTTAGTACCACAACGACATTGAATTGGCATACAGCAACAACTTTGAGGATCCACAAAGACGCGTAATATTCAACCAGTTGCTCAAATATCACAGGGCCCCAAATGCACAGGATGTTGCAGTCATCACTAAAAACAGATGTAAGTTTTAAAAACCTTCGTTTACGAAGTTCGACCAGTGTATACTGCACATCAAGCTGGCTAACGCTTTTTTTTATTTCCTTCCACTTAGAATTACCACAACTACATTTATTTATAAGTTAATCTCTTGCAGTTGAAATCCGATATCTACCTATTAAGATCAAAGTAGATGCTGACATTGACTCCAAGAAGGTAGACATTGAACTCGAAGGCCAGTACCAAGATAAGAGCGCCGAGTTTGACCTAGAAGCAAGAACTCAAATTAAGAAACCTGGAGACTATAGCGTTAAAGTTAAAGGAGAATATAATAAGCAGGGAATTGAAGCGTTTGCAAAGAGAGACATTGAATCAGCTGACAAATCCAATTTAGAAAATTATGTCGTTATAAAGGGAGTTGGCAAATACGAACTCTCTGGTGTTGTCCTTCACAAGACCAAGGCAAACGATATGAATGTGGGTGCTGTTGGACACTTCAAAATTTCTGGTGGTGGCAAAACTGAAGATATCGCGTAAGTTTTATTCATTATTTTAATTCAGTTATATAATTATGTACGTCCTGTACATTTCGTTTTACTGTAGGCTTAAATGGCCGAGCTTAACATGGAGTAGACTTTAACATTCAATTTTTTGATGGCTGGCGTAAATGTCAATCGTCATCTAAAGAATTGTAATAAAGAAAATTCTATTAAGTGTACTATTCTTATAAAATAGCTACTTGACTGAATAACAATATTACTCTGTTTCTTTTACATCAGATTCGACATTGGAGCAATTGAAAACGCAAAGCTCTACTCCTCTCATGCTAAGATCTCCACCACTAAGGGCGAGATTCTGGACTTTTTACTTAAACTGAACCGTGGAGCCAATCCGTCTGGACAGATCAAATTAAACGTCAGGGATATTTTCAACACCAACGGACAGTTCCAGGTCACTGACAAGGACGGAAAAGGCAACGGTGTCATCATTGTTGACTTCAAGAAGGTACCTAAGTTATTATTAAATCTATTTCCCACCAACAAATTGACCACAGCATTAAATAAAACTGAAGACGTAATGAGAAGTGGATTTGAAACATCTGTAATTTTGGATGCTCATAACTTTTTGTTGTACAGATACCTGACCCCAAAACAAATCAACTGTTTTGACCTTTTGGTTCTGAGCTCATGAATGTGGAGAAAAGTATGAAATAAACGTAATCTTTACCCTGTAAGCCGTAAAATTCATTTTGGTATGACTTCCTGATCGTGTCATTAATGAATAACATTAAAAGAAATATAGTTTTTACAAATAGAGAATACGAAATTCAATCTGCTATAGTTAAGGTCGTTGTGGTTTAGCGGTTGCTTTGCAAGTTGAGGCGGAGCGACATTAGAGTCACATAAAAAATAAAATATTATTTAGCTATGGCTATAATCATACATAATATTGTAAATAATCTTTTTATACCTCTGGATAGGTGTGAGGAATGTCTTGACAATGTTAGAGCTTCGATGTAAACCACCACCCAGAAACATTAGGTGAATGAAATAAAAAAGTTTTAACTTCGTGGGTAACTCAGAAATACTTGTTTTTTTCTAAATTATAATTAGTAAACAGCTTAAAACATTTTAAAATGTAACAATCCCGTTAAATAATTCATACTAAAATAAAACTGTTCTCGTGAAATCTAACCACGGATATTAGTTAGTAATGTGCAGTCCAAACACTAAGCCGCTCGACCAATTTACAGGGATGTGAAATGTCGAAATTGGTATAGGCTTTAAATATTCTTGATCATCTTTAAAGATGATTTTATATTAGATTTAAAATTGAAATTCCTGTTTTTTTTTCTGTTTAACACGTAAAATGGCTTTCGGAACCAAAAGATCGATTTGGGCATATCGGAGGGTCATGTATAATAGAGTGTGGGTACATTCAGTGTAGTGGAAATGAAACTAATTTTTGGAACTTAAATCGCGTATGTACACTTGTTTCTTTTTCAAACAAACCAACATCCTGGCTGGTCACGGCTGGCTCCACTATTTACAGTCACAGTTGTTTTATTAAAAAAAGAGTTTCAATTCCAAAAAAATAATTGCGAAAACCTAACTCGATATTCCAGGTACTTTTGAAGAAGTTAATTTATCTAGAAATTAATTTAGTCAATCAATTCATTCATTGTCAATAGTGTAGTTTATCAATAATTGCATTTAACTTTAAACGTGAATGAAAGAATATATATATATATAGCTATTTGATATTTGTCGCGATATCTGGTGAACCAATAGGTACTAAATACTCGAGTACGCTCTTTGTTCGCGATTAGCAATCCCCTTGATTTATATGAGAATTTAAGAGTAACATATGAAAATGAATATGTACGTGTAAATTTATATCACATTACACAATAGGATGTAGGTAACTACAAGAAAATCATATTTAGTTCTAAAGAAGCTAGAGCTGTAGTGATTTGACAAAAAGATGTATCATTTCCAACTAATGACAAATGTTTAAAATAAAAAAATATTGATATGAGTCGGCTTAGCGCTCCCTTGATACAGATCTAATCTAACGTAACGTAGGCTCAAGTATAATGAATTCACTTTATTTCAGTCTCAACGCAAGATCAAGGGAGATGTAAAGTTCGTGGTTAAGGATCCTGTATACAACGCCGATGTCGACCTGTTCCTCAATTTCGAAAAGGACAACAATGACAAAGTCCATATCAGCACTAACACTAAGAACACAGATAAACTTATCGACTCTAAGTAAGTACAGGTGTTATTCATCCATATATCTGTTTTTGCCATTTAAACTCCAAAAACTAAAAAGTAACAATCTTTCTCAGGAACAAATTCAACTATCGTGATCAAAAGTTCGAGGTGAATGTGCACCGTGATGGCGAAATTACTGGTAAAGGCAATTCTCACGCTAATGTGGAAGTCGTACTACCGAATGAGAGGTGCTTCAACCTAAAGATTAACAAAAACGTTGATATTAAGAACGATGTAAGTTAAAAAAGTACACAATTTCATTATATATTTTTTTATGATACTAAATAACTGGATGAACATGCGATACTTACCCCATAACATTGCAATGGCAATCTGAGTTTTAAATTGCAAAGGTCTGGAGGGCACTACCGCTGTACGCGTCACACTGAGACACAAAGTTTAGAAGTCCCATGTACCTGTAGTAACGCTAACATTCATGCTTGGTGGCAGAAATAATGCTGCTACTGAATATTCAAATAACTAACGACATATTGTAGCAGTGTTTCTTCTTCTATATTCAACAGCTAAATTCTTATTGGTGCAAGTAACGTTGTCGGTCAAATCAAAGCGTTTATTCAAGTTATATAATACAGAAATTTAAAAAAAGAGATAATAGAGTTCTCGTCCATTATTTTGCAATAAACCAAGTCTTACTTAATTTTAAAACAATTGTCTCAAATAGTTAACATTATACTTCTCAGGTTGTCAACGGCCAAGCGGAATGCAGCCTCTCAGATGCACCCAAGCGCGGTGGTCCAGCTTCCACTATCACATTTAAAGGCAAAGTAACCAATACTAACTATGATAAACAGGAGTTGAATTTAGAAGGCCAGATTGAGCTGAAACTAAAGGACGGCAAGAACTTGGTCAACAATTGGTACCTGAAGAACCAACCTGAGGGTGAGGGAAAGAGCCAGTATGAATACAAGGTTAGTGACTTAAAATTGTTTCACGATTTTTGTAGTTTACCAGCCAATTAAGATATTTTATTGGTTTTGCTCGCACCTAACACCCTGTAGTATTATGTGTAAATAATGTTAATTAAATCATACAGACCGAAGTTAAGGGCAACCTTATCCCGCAACCAGCATCACTCTCTGTAAGCCGTAACCGGGACCGCACGGGACCCTCATCTGATGAGAAAATCCGCGTGAAGGGCAACTACGGTAACGACATGAGCTTTGAGTACACCGGCTCTGCCATCATCAAGGAACATAACAACGACGTCTCTAAGTGAGTATTTCTGTTTTGAACTTGAATTTCATGAGAAGTTCCTGAATTAATCTTCTGTATAAAACAATTTAAACTTCTGCCCACTGTCTATAAATTATATACCTATATATACTGCTCAGCGTGGTTTTATAAGTCTATTTTGGCTTGGCAACTCTTATTGTCTTTAAAAAGCTTTCAGTCTGTCAATACCTACTAATTTGTTTCTTTATTTTACAAAGATACCAGCAAGACAGCAACCTTAACATCCGATTGCCGTTTGAGCAGGCTCATGATATCAGATTGGCGTCTAACGTTGTCTTCCTTTTCCCTGCCAACGAAAACGTCTTCATTGAGGTAAGAGATTACAATTGTCGCGAGCTTATCACATTTTGTCATTTTTCTGCCAACCTGTTTAAAATTCTAACTGAATATGAAAGGAAATAAGTCGAGGTTTTTAAATTTATTACTTATTGCTGCAACAGTATACGATCATCGAGCAAGCGCAAGTGAACGCGGACGTCTACAAGTTCGACTCGAGCGGCAAGTTAGGACTGCAGAAAGGCTTCGAGAAAGTGAAGGTGCTAGTGCCTCATCAGGAACCTCTCGTATTGGAAGTTCACTACAACGTTGATACCGATAGTGAGTACACGCTAAACTATTTGAAAGATAGTACGGCTAGAGGTAATTACGCTTTTGTTACTTTGCAACGGACCGCGTGTGCAAACTGACTGCATCAGTCGTGGTCATGCAACCTGTAAAGATCCCGAAACGTTGCTTTGTTTGAAAAAAAAAAGTGAAACATGAGATTCAGATCCATAAAAATTGTTTCATGTCCAATGTCTAATAATAATAGCCAACTCGATATTCGGTCTTTTCAGATGAAAAGAAGAAGCTGTCAGTGGACCTGAAGTCTCAATACGGCAAGGGCAAAACAGCAAATATAGCTCTGGGTGCACAGGTAGCGTCGCAAGAGTTCGACATTCAGATAAACGCCAATGCACCTCAAGCTGAAAAGCTTAAGAAACTGGCCCTGCAGATCGTGGGCAAGGTAATGTTCAAGCAATACAAATTAAGATACTGTCCGATGTGGGAAGACTTCAATGTAATACATTGGATGCCGATTTTGCGAAACATATTCGAATCTTCCTCGTATATTTTTCCCGAACTAAAATTTTACGATTGGTTATCACTTAAATTCAGACAAACTATGGAACATTAATTAATTATAACGTGTCTTCAAGTTAAGGTTCTTGGTGGCCGTTTGTGACCTGGTTATA